GGCAGAGCAGCAGGCTCTTGGGGTGTGGTCCTCACGTGCCGCCCGTGACCCCAACCCCGAATTCACGCTTGGGGGAGAAATACTTCCTCCTGCTCCTGTCTGAATGTATAATTTTTAAAAAGTCTAAAATCATCAGAGTTGGTTTTTTTTTAATCGTTTTTGTCCTCACTGAGAATTCACAAGAGTCTAGGTTTGCTACATTAGACAAATATATAAGACGGAAAAAATATGATTCATGTTTATTTTCCAAAGTGTTTCCAGACAAAATAACTGACATTTAATAACATGAAACATGACCACCGGAAAACACATGAGCAAAAACTGTGAACGCAGCAAAGCCCACCTCGGCCACCTCAGCGCCGTGGGCACAAGCAGCCCACCCCCACCGACAGGGGCGGCCAGAGCGGCCCGCCCCCAAAACCCGCCCGGCGCCCGAGCACGGCCCCTGGGCCTCTGTGACGTGGAACCCCAGGAGCGAACAGGCCGTTCAGGAGGCACGAGCAAGAGGACGGGCAGGTCCACGACAACACCCAAGGGCAGGCTGACGGGGCCGCCGCTCAGGGCTCCCGAGGACGGCGGGTCCTGGGCCCCAGAAGGCGGACGCGGGGCGAGCCCTCCCAGCCCCCTCCCACCCCAAGGCACTAGGTGCGCCTGGCAGAGGCTGCCGCAAGGGGCCGGCCCAGCCGTCCGGGCTCAAACGCAGGGCTCGGCCGCGGCAGGCGCTCCTCCCTGGCCCTCTCCCCTCCTTCCCGTGGGCCTTCTGTGGCCACCGGGGCACATCGCCACACACTTAGTGGCACGTGCACGGCCAAAGTTCTGCAGGTCCAAAGTCCGAGACGGGTCCCAGCCAGCCGCAGTCCAGGGGTCAGCTGCCGGCCTCCACCCGCTCTGGAGGCAGTTCTGGCAAGCGCCTGCCCCGCCCACTCGGGCTGGGAGTGGGAGTCACTGCCTTGCGGCTGAGGGACAAGGCCCCTGCTGCAGCAGCAGGTTCTCCCCAGCCCCCAGGGGCCCCCCGCATCCCCCCGCCCGCGGCCCTTCCCCCTCTTCAAAGCCAGCAGCCAGGGCCAGAGGCTGCTCATCACGGCAACCTCTCCAACCAGCTCCGAGAGCCCCGGGGGCGCCCGCGGGCCACCCGGTGACCTGGGACCAGCTCCCATCGCCAGGTCAGCGGGGCGGCAACCTCGCCTCCCCTTTGCCACGTCAGGGGGCCATTCACGGGTCCCAGGGACGAGGACTGGGAGCTCTTTGGGGGCCATGGTTCTGCTGCCACACCCACGTCCTGGCAACCACCTCAACCCTGACACCAGCCCATCAGGGGACCTGCGAGCACCCCAAGACACGGGCCTGGCCCTGCCTGCCCCCACCTGGGCCTCAGCCACTGCCCGCGTCCCTCCTGTCCTGCCTTGAGGGACAGGAGGGGGCGGCTGTGCCCCAACAGTCCTGTCACAGGCTCGCAGCGCCTGGATCCCAGGTCCCTCCACAGCCACACAGCCCCACGCGCTCGGGCCCTGCTCCCCTCCCTGGCCCTCACCTCAGCATGCCCCCCTTGAGGCTGCGCCCCACCCAGTGCCAAGCTCTGCCCCTACCCCCACCTCCCACCTCTGAGAGGCTCCTCTTCTGCTCAGATGCTGGAGACGCACCGATGGCTGGAGGAGACTGAAGCCTGTGCGCACAGAGCGTGCGGTGCTGGCACAGTGCGAGTTACGTATCCATCCGACAAATGAACACATCACCAAACTCTGAAAATGTCCCAAGATCCGTTCTCATTCTCATCAAAAAGGCAAAAAAAAATACCCCCGCCACCCCGCCCCCCGGGCAGGTACAGCCGCTTTGGTCTAATGCAGCTGCCCCAGGTCACCTACGCGGACACCGAGGGCGCCAGGAGCGAGCGCCACAGGAAGAGCAGGCTGCAGCCCGGAGCGCGGCTCCCCGTCCGAGGCCGTCCCGCCGCCGGCCCACACGTCCCCCCCACGTGAGAAAGCATCGGCCAAGTGCGCACACAAGGGCCACCGCACGCAGAGCACAGGGTCCGCCCGCAAGGCCACCGCCTGCGCAGGGCGAGCCCCTGGCCAGATCCGCCGCAGCTCCCCGGAAGGCAGCCGGGGTTCACCGCACTAGCGACGCGAATGCGGGACGGCGCCGCTCGCTGGCCCCGGTGCATGAGAATAACCACCGAGGCCAAAGGGCAGGAAAGGACATCCTGGCCGGTTCCGAACGTGCTGACGGGGCATCGAGCAGCACACGCAGCCGGGAGCCTGCGGGTCCATGAGCTCCGCTCCGCACAGTGCCAGCAGGGCGGGCCGGGAGAGCGGGCAAGAGCGCTGGGCGGGGTCAGGCCGCGAGGGGTCTCGGACACCGGGCCAAACCCCGTCTGCCGCTCACAGGGCATCGCAGGGGCTCTGAACCCAGCACCCGCCCTGCAGGTCACGGGCGGCGCCGAGCGCGGGTCTCATAAGCCCTGGGAGGCCTGGCGCCGCCAGGAACGGGGATGGTGGCCGGCGCGGGGGCTCGGCAGCACCAGCCGTCAGCGTCGCAGGGAGTCCCGTGAGAGAATTATTACTAAGGAACCACCAAGGGCCGTGCCACATAAAAACGCTCAACAGGCCTGCGCGCCACGGGGGGCGTGGCCTTCCTCCTCTGAGTGTCTCTGGGTTGAGCTCCACACTCAAAACAAAAAGAGGGAAACAATCACGGAGGCCCCGAGGGCGGCGAGGCTGCCAGCACGGCGGGAGCACCAGCGGAGGCCACGCCCGCGGCTGAGGACCACTGCTGACCGATGCCAACAGGAGGGGGCCGCCTTGGGGGCCCAACCCCGCTCAGCAGCGGCACGGCCGCGGGCGGGGCGCAAGGCCAGGGCACAGGGACCACGGGACCGCCGGACCACGGCTGTGCGACCCTCCCTGGCGGCCCGGCCCGCCCTCGACCTCTGGCCCCACAGCGTCCGCCCTGGCGGCTCCCCAGGGCTCCGGCTCTGCAGCCGCAGCACGGAGCTGCTCTCGGCGATGCCAAGGACACAGCGCAGCACAGGCGTCACAGGAGGGAGTGTCAGCGGCCAGGTGGCTCCCGGAGGAAGAGGGGCTGCACTGGCTGCCTGCAGCCTTCGTGGCAGACCGCCTCGCACACCGTGGCTTAAAGTGACAGGAACTTGTCTTCTCGTGGTTCTGGGGGCTAGAAAGGGTCCGCATGGCCATCCCCCTCTGAAGTCTCCAGGAAGGGCGCCTGCCTTGCCTGCTATGTTCTTCACGGGTGTCCAGAGGAGGCATCACTCCAGCCTCCGCCTCGTCTTCAAGAGCCATCATCCCAGGCCCGTGCCTGTGTCCAAATTCCCCTCTTCTTGTCAGGACACCAGTCACCTGGCTGGTGTGGCTCAGTGGCTTGAGTGCCGGGTTGCAAACCTAAAGGTCACTGGTTCGATTCCCAGTCAGGGCACAGGCCTGGGTTGCGGGTCAGGTCCCCAGTGGGGGGGGGCACACAAGAGGCAACCACACACGGATGTTTCTCTCCCTCCCTTCCCCTCTCAAAATAATAAAATTCTAAAAAAAAAAAAAAAATAGACACGTCATTGACCCAGGGCTCACCCTAATCCACTGTGACCTCCCCTTCACTTGATCACATCTGCAAAGCCCATTTGCCCAAATAAGGTCATATTCACAGGTCCGTGAATTTCGGGAAGACACTACTGAACTCAAGCCAAGGACAAATTACCGAGCTGCCGTCAGCAATCCAACGGTCTGTCCGCCATCCCAGCCACACACAGGACCTCAACGGCCCTGCCTCCCTGGTGGCTGCCAAGAAGTGGCTTGTTCTGAGGAGGAGCCTGAACCTCAGGCCCCACAACCAACGCGTGAGTTCCCAGGCCCCGGGGCTCCTCTGCCCCAAGCTGTGTTCGGGGGCACTTGTCCCTGTCACTCCTCGGCCCTCCTGTTCTTCCCATTCCTGAATTTTCCCGTCATCTTGGACCGTGGCATTTGTTTTCACAAAAGGTCTTCTTGTTCTTCAACCAAGTGCAATCCCACAGAGTAAAAGAGAGTCTTGAGCGACCTTTGGGGACCATTCAGCCACTCACTCCTGCAAATCCCACGTCCCTCGGAAAATTCACCGTTTCTACCGGACACGGTGGACTCCGGAGTTTACACTTCTCTGCTCCAGCCACGGGGTTTCACGCGCCCCGCGCAGGCACGCCGTGCTGGTCAGCGCTTCTGCCTGCGGGTGTGTGCCTGTGCTACCACCCTTCTTAGTTTTCAGTATCTCAGGCTTGAGCTTCCAAAGAGAACAGACCGTGCCTACAAATCTGGGAGCCTGTCCATCGTCCGTTTCCACCAGCAGCAGGTTTCACCGCCGCAGCTACCAGGCTCGGTCTCCGCCTCTCCGGGCGCCGCTGGCCGCGCTGGGTGACACCGCGATCCGATGAGGACCTCGGAGCTGCACAGCGTCCAGCTGCACCCAGGTCATCGCAGGCACTTACGTTTGTATTTTTTTTATTTTACTTTTACTTGCTTCCTGCAGCTGATCCAGAATAGCAGTTGGTTCGGAGGCCCGAAGGGGGAACACAGAAACTCGGGGGAGCCTCCCGCCGCCCTCCTTGCCCCCGGCAAGGCAGCAGCCGACGCGGGACGCGGCCAGTCAAGTGGGTCAAAGCCACCACGCCCCGGGCAGAAGCCGGTCCCGTCTCCGCCTGCCTCCGCGGCTCCGCCGAGTCGGCGCCTTCCAGCACAGCGCCCCCCACCCCCGGGAGTCCGGCGGGGCGTGGAAAAGCACGCCTGTCTCAGGGAGGACTCGTCGGCCGCTGCGCCCCCTCCTTCCAGCCCCGCCGCCCCGCGCGGCCGCCGTCACGCCCCCGACCCCACGCTGCGACCCCCCGTCCCCTCCCACCCGAACAGTGTTCTCGGAGCCCAGGCCGCCCCGCCGCAGACCCCGACTCGACCCGCAGCCCCGGCGGCCGACGCTCCCACCTGACCTCTGACCCCTGACCCCGAGTCGCAGAGCCCCGTCACACCTACCTGCCCGGGACCTTGCTGTTGCTGCGCTTCCAGAACTGCTTCCTGGTCCCGTCGCTGGCCATGGCCCCTCCGCATCCCTCAGACCCGCGGCCCCGACACCCCGAGTGCTGCTGGCCCGCCCCTGCGGCTCTGTCCCGTACCCCAGGGAGCCCCTCAGCTGTCCCGGGACTCCCGAGCGTAGAGCCGAGAGGCTCTTCCGCCTCCCTCCGGAAGTTGTGCTTCGACACACCCGGAAGTCCCGCCCCCGTCCCAGCCGTGTGTGACGCTGGAGCGGACGCCCACAGATAGGAAAGGGCGACGCCTGGCGACGCGGCGGAGGAAGTGCAGCGGCGGAGCTGGACTCCCGGGTCTTCCTTGGGACAGTGGTCCCGACCTAGGGCAGGGCGACGCTATGGGCGGCAGTCGAGGCTCTGTCCCCCGCCTGTTTGAGGGAAGGGACAGTGGGGTCAGACCAGGCTTCAGCGGAGCAGCAGTGGCACCTGAGACGTGAGGACTCCCCCTCCTGAGCAGTGCTATGTACGTACGTGCGGTACGTGCCAATACAGGATGTCCAAGGCTTGGTACCAAATACAGAACGCAAGTGTTGATTTTTATATTGATGACATGTTGAAAACGTTGAAATACTATTTTTGGTACAGTCGGTTCCATAAACTATATTGCTAAAATTATTTGCATATATTTTTACCTTTTTTTTAACGGATTCACCAAAAATTGTTGAGCATGTGGTTTGCATTAAATTTCTTCCCCCTTGTCGCAGAGGCTGAGGCATCAGTACCTGGCCCGTCCGCGTGAGTCCGCGGCAGAACTTTCGGGAGCTCCGAGGCATTCCTTCAGCGGGTCTCTTTTCAAAGAAAAATTTGATTACATTCTCTTTTTTTTTTTTTTTTAAGGTTTTATTTATTTTTAGGGAGAGAGGGGAAGGGAGGGAGTAAGGGAGGGAGAAAGAGAGGAAAACATCAATGTATGGTTGCTATTCATACGCCCCCTACTGGGGACCCGGCCTGCAACCCAGGCATGTGCCCTGACTGGGAATCAAACCCCCGACCCTGCGCTTGACAAGCCAGCACTCAATCCACGGAGCTGCACCAGCCAGGGCTGGTTATGTTCTCTTGATTCAAGTGTGCCTGAGCCTCCGCAGTCAATGAACAGTATGTAACATTGATGGAGGGCTTGTTGTGCATGCTCTGCGCTGCACTGGGTGCTTTGCAGCATCATCTCAGCTGCGCACCCACCATCCCCCGGTGGACACTGCCCCTTCCTGCAGGAGGACCACGTGGGGCTCGCCCGCGCTCAGGACACCGAGCCTTGTCCCCTGTTTGCAACAGCAAGCCTTTCACAGCCCCTGTGCCCACCTGGGTAACAGCGCAGAGACTCCATTTCTTCAGTGAGACCCTTTCGCACTCCTGTCCTGTGGGTTCACACTGGCCTCACCAGCCCCCGCCCCTTGGGCCGCCTTGGCCCTGGCACGGCCACCGCCTCCACCATGAAGCCTGTTGGCCCAGCGAGGAGGGTCTGGTGAGCAGCACACAGTCTCAGAACAAGGCCCTGGGGCCCGCGACCCGGGAAGCGGTTTCGGTCACACTAAACGTGACATCTAGGCCTCAGCTGTGTTTCAGCCCAGGACCCGGGAAAGGGGACAACGCTGCCACCCCGCCCTCATGAAACCAGACAGGTGGCGCCATGACAGACATCAGGACCCAACACAGCGATCAGCTGCTTCCTCCAACGGCCCCAGCCCGGCAGGGGAGCCCGTGCCCCGCCCCCGGTCACTGTGATGAGTGACTTCTCTCGGGTGCCTCTGTCCCCTGGGGGCCGTCCGGGGGGCCCGGGAGCCGGGGTTCAGAGCACTAGCTCGCCTGTGTCTCCGGGTGGCACCATCCGCTTCAATGAACCTCCACCTCCCTGGCGGCAAGCTCCTGTTCGTGTCTCACTGGGCTTCAGCGCACGCGGGGAAACGACCCTTCGGTCGAGGGGCACCTGTATGTTCACCCGCCGGCGCTTTCATTACCTCTGTCTCCACACGCACCTGGTGAGAGGCCGCCGAGTGGGACCAGCGCCTTTGGCGGCCTCCACGCCCAGCACAGTGAGCTCTGAGTGTTATGGGGGTGACGACCAGGGGAGCTCCCCAGGGTCCCCTTCTGTCCCAGCCATGGACGCTCTCCAGGAACCTCGTCCCGGGGTGGTCCCTGGGGATCCTTTGTGACTTCCTGCCGACCCCTCAGTGGATCCGCGGGGCCCCTTGGCTGCTCAGCCTTATGAACGTTCCTGGGATCTTGTCCTTCCCTGACCTCAGGAACCGCCAGAGGACTCTGATCAAGCCTCAGTGGGTCCTGGGGGACCCCTTCCTATCATAGCCCCGGGGAGCTTCCCGGGGTCGCCTCCCAGGGATGCTCAGGGAGGCCCCAGCGATCTGACCCCAGCCCGGGGCCCTCCCAGAAATCCCCTCCCTCGGCAGCTACCAGCCTTAGGGTCCCCTACGGACGGCAGCAGGGACTGCGGGTCCTCCCAGCTCAGCTCCGCTGACTGTAAGAACCAGCGAGAGTGAGGTCGAAGCAAGACCAAGATGACGGAAGCAGGAAGAGTTTACAAAGGCAACCTGGCCGTGCTTACGGCGGCGGGGGTCACTGGAGCATCCTTCACATTGCGGCAGCACTGCCTTGCCACATCACTGGGGTCAGCTCTAGCAACACGGCCGGCCCCAGAACCTCAGTAAGCTTAGGGCCATGTGTCCCTGGCCAATTCCAAGGACTCAGAGCCCTTGGTGGGCCACCAATCCCGGGCTCCCGCTGCAGACCGCGCCCTGCTGTGGGCCTCTCAGAGGCGTAGCTCCGAGTGAAAGCTTGTTTCCCCTTATCCGGGTCTTAAGAAAGCAGTGCTTTCTGGCTTCTCCGAGTTCAGATGGGCCTGTGTCGGGCTCACGGGCGTACGAGGCCTCAGCGTCGATAGCAGGACCCCGCGAGCGAGCCACCACGCCTCGCGTTCCGAAGCTCCGGGCTAACTCTCCCGGTCCTGCAGGCACGGGGAAGAGGTGACGTGAGGTTCGCATTAGCCCCCGAGTGCTGCTGTAGCAAATTCCCCCAAAGCGAGTGGCCGAAACAACCCCAGTCGTTTTCTTACCGTTCTGGAGATTCGAAGTCCACCATCAGCCTCACTGGGCTACGGTCACGGTGGTAGCCGTGCTGGGTCCCTTCCAGAAGCTCCCAGGGGAGCCTGCTTCCTGGGCTTGCCAGCCTCCAGCGGCCGCCCGCACGCCTTGGCCTGACCCCTCCCTCCGCCTTCACAGCGCGAGGCTCCTGCCGCTGCCTCATCCATTGCAGGGACTTCCCCTCTCGCTCCCATTCCTCCCGGCCCCTCGAACGAGGGCCCGCCGGGGGTAGGAGAGCGCCCCGCGCCAGGGCCCTTCACGTAACCACGCCTGTGAGCCCCCCTTGCCAAACCCGGCCACCTCCTCAGGAGGAGGAGCGCAGAGACCTGTGCGGCTGTGATTCCGCAGACCACGATAATGCGTGAGCTAGAGCGAAGGCTCTCAGGTTCCCCCTTGAGAGACAGGGTTCCCCTCCAAGTCCCCTTCCCTCTCTCAGTTCCACATCTGCTGCTAGCACTCGCTTCAGCACTTCAATGGTCCGTAGTTGCAGAAAAGACAAATCCAGCTCAGGTCAGCTGACTCCTGCTGCGCAGAAAACTTCGAGGTTGAAAGCTTTTCTGAAAGAAGGGCTTCGTGAGCCGCGTGCCAGCCAGAAGAAGGGCGGACCCTGGGGCACGTGGCCTGACCACCAGCGGCGGGGCTCTGGGCCGGCCTTCCTCACGGTCACGGAACGGCTGCCATCTGCCGCCCGGGCGGCCGGCCCCCTCGCTCATAGCCAAGGCAGCGAGCGGTTTGCCTCCCAGTGCCTCAGACCACAGAAGCTGCAAGATACAGGCTTGGGAAGGGGGGGCCACGCGCCCTGCTCAGTGTGCAGTGGGCAGGGCGGGGGGCAGGAGAAGAGACAGAAAACCGGCGAGATGGCTTTCAAGACCCTTGACCCAGTTGCTCAGCCAGATGTCCCCGACCGGCACAGAGGCTTGCCTCGCCTGCGGCCTGGCAATGGCCACGGCCTGGCCGGGAGGGCACACGAGGCCAGTCCTGGGCGTCCTCGGGGGGATCAGCTGGGAGACCGGGGCACGTCAGACGCATGCCATGGAACGGAGGCTGCGGATGGGCCGCGGGGTGTGGGGAAGAGAGTTGCGCCCCCTTCTGTGCGCACCCCTTAGCTAGCGAGGACACGAAGTCAGCGCTGCCGACGTACGTGGACCTGACAGAGGCGCGTGCACATGGTTTATAAATAAACAGGGACTTGGTGAAATGTGTGTGTGTGTGTCAAATTTTCTTTACTGATAGACATGCACAATAAAGTTAGAAGATCCTGGTAAAAACTGCTCTGTGTTCCTTCTCGGCTTCTTGCTGTCAAGTGTAAGTAATTGTCACCTGTCCCTGCTCACCTGCACACTGCATGCCCCGTGCCCCGCCCCCCCCCCGCCGTGGTCCTGCTGTGCCCTCCCGCCCGGTGCCCTCATGCCCAGGTTCCCAGCACATGGGACGCCCACCTGCCAGGTGCAGAGCTGCTCAGTCCCGCAGGCCACGCCCCCAACACTGCCTGCACCCCACCTGGCTGGCAGGTGCGGCTCGGGCGCGCTCGCGGGACTGGTGGAAGGCTATGACATTTCGCTCAATGCCAGGAGTGCTGCTTGGCACAGCTGACGTCCCGTGTGGACTCCCTCCATCGCCACTGCGGGGCGGCGGTGCTGGAAGACACGCTGGACTGACAAAGGCTTCCCCCCAGGGCCAAGGCTGGCAGACGCTGAGCTCCAGAACCATCAATGGGAGCAGGTGCCAGGGAGGAGAGGCGGTCGGCGGGGAGGGACTGGGACCGCCGGGACGGGCCCGCGGCCCGACGGGGCTCCAGCCAGGGTCCGGGCTGTTCTTTGCAGCCCGGACACTCCGTGAGCCGCACAAACGTCAAAGTCCAGAACCGGCGTCGATGGGCCCAGCCCTGTGACCACAGCGACAAGCCTGGAGACGCGTGGCCCGTCCTCCTCTCGTTTCCCGGGCGACCTGCAGATGCAGCTGGTCCTGCCACAGAAGGACGGCGGCTGCCCAGCCCCCTCTCTGGGGACATCACTGGGGCGCAGCGGACAGGTCCTCCCGGGGGGCC